GAAAAATTTCAAAGCAACGACAAACTCGTGCATACGAGACGCGGAAGCGAAAATGGTTTCTGTTATCAATTATAGGCATTTAAGAATATTTGTGGAGATTCTTAAATGCCTATAATTTATACCAACGTCTTCCCATACTTAATACTTCTCGTTTCCACTCTTCACGAGGTGCGCCTAATCAAATACGAGTATCGGCTAAAAATAACACACCGAGCAGTTAACGATTAGTTAACTGTTTGTCGACTATTTGCCTCCGGGCGGAGAGGAACCTACACGAGGCTATGTCGAAAGGCAGTCTCGTCTGAGGAGGTAGGCAGCTACCCGACCCCGTGCATACTGGGTCTACGGGCAGTTTTTGTCCGAGCCTACGGGCTAGGAACAAACCACGTAAAAAAAAATCCGGCCTTGCGCCCCATCCCGCCTTGTTAACGATTACAGATGACATTCTTTCTCCGTGCAGAGAGGAACCCAGACGAGGAGATGCCGAAAGGCAGAGTTTTGTCTAGGGAGGTAGACAGCTACCCGACCCCCATGTATACAGAGTCTAAGGGCAATTTTTGACCGAGCCTAGGAGCTCGGAACACCGCACGCAAAAAAAAAAAAACCGGCCTAGTGCCACATCCCTCTTTGTGGGAAGGTCTCAGGTAAGTACAGAGGAGTTAACAATTAGATTTCGTTACATCTCTGCTAGCCGACCAGACGAGACTCTGCCCGTAGGCATAGCCCCGTCTGGGGAGGCAGATAGCTGCCCGATCTATTCTATCCAGGTCGACGGGGAAATTTTGCCCGAGCGTACACGTTCGGAAGACCTTTCATTTAAAACCAGCCGTGTGCCACATCCCTCCTTGTGAGGAGGTTTCGGTAAATACCGAGAAGTTAGCGATTACTCTGCTTGTCGACTCTGGACATTCGAATTGAGAGAAACTCAGACGAGGCTATGCCTCCGGGCAGAGTCTCGTCAGGGTAGATAGTGTTGTAGAGTAGTTTTCACAGTGGAGGCTTGTATTTCAATAAGTCGTCTTAAATTAGGTTCAACGTACAAAATGTTAGGAACTTGAAATATTAGTTAATGACGCAGCAATCTAGTTGTGATGGTTGATACTTCAATGTCCGACATCGACTGACTCACTCAACACCACTGAGCCCAACTGGCGACCGTTACTACTACTACTACTACTTATTATGTGTGGTAGGGTCTATTAATAATAGAATAGGTACGTTCAGGTATGACAGATAGACAGCAACCCGACCCCGTTTATGCAGAGTGCATGGAGATTTTTTGCCAGAGAGTACATGCTCGGAATAACACCACGTTCGACACCGGCCTTGTGGGGAGGTTTTGGGTAAATGCCGAGAAATTAACGATTAACTTTTTTTTACATTACCTTGTTTTCTCAATCGTATAACTTGTTATTCTCTGGAATAAACTATTTCTTATTTTTTATGTGTGTGTCAGCATACCCGCTCGGCCCGGTGGCTAGGATCAAAGTGTAGTATCTGCGCTTTGTGAGCTGCCGGGTCGGGTGTCTGTCGAACTCTCTGCTTGCAGAGAGGAACCCTGACGAAGCTCTGCCGAAGGGTAGGGTTTCGTTGGGGCAGGTTGAAGGAACTGGCCCGCCTCGGCGGGTTTGGATGGTTATTTATTTTTGGCTGGGCCTACGGGCTCAGAGATACCCACATTAAAAAGGCCTTGTGCCACATTCGATCCCCGTGGGTAGATTGATAAATACCATTTCTCTTTTACGACACAACAGTAACTGATTTTGTTATTTTTTTTTAAATTGAAAGGCGCAAGCGATATATCGTAGGTGAGCATATGCGACATGCGAGAGAGAATTATCCAGCACCAGCCTTAATATGACTCTAATATTCAATTTCCGGTCTGATATGGCTCTTGTAAATCTACTGTATATAGCAGGGTGAGACAGATACTGTAGCGCTGCAATGAACCAGCCCTGTTTCCGGTATCTTTCTCCCCCGCTATGGGTAAATAGCAATACAGACTGGGTTCTATAGCCTTCGATGGCAATTGGTCTACCGCGGAAACAAATAGCAACCAACTGCGGGAAAAACCCGCTCGTCAGTCATGTATCGAAGTATACATAATCGGCTTAACGTGTATCATGCATAGCACATAACTGACTGACTGACGTGCTAATACCCTTTGGGAAGGTATGGATCCTCTTCTTCTCCTCCCCCCAGCTATGGATAAATAGCAAGACAGACCGGATTCTATGTGTGTGGCAACTGGTCTACCAAGAAAATGACTCGTCAGTCATGCAGAAATTTGTGTATCCCGATGGAACATAACTGACTGACTGACTTTTCAGGAACGACTCGTCTTCATGTATGGATAAATAGCCGGACAGACAGGGGTTCTATTGACTTGGATGGCAACTGGTCTATCAGAAAGAAATTCGTCAGTCACGTACAGAAAGATACAGGATTGCTTAAACGTGTATACAAAATCACAATCCGGATGTTATTATCTATATCTGCTATGGGTAAATAGGGACAGACCGGATGTGTGTGTGTGTGTGTGTGTTGTGTGAAATTTGGTAAAAGCGTGTGTGTTCAGTCTACATGTATACTATGGCACTATAATTTTCTAACAGAGTGATACAAAATCACAATCCGGATATTATTATCTATATCTATAAAAGTGGATGTGTGTGTGTGTGTGTGTGTGTGTGCGTGTGTGTGTGTGTGTGTGTGTGTGTGCGTGTGTGTGTGTGTGTGTGTGTGCGTGCGTGCGTGTGTGTGTGTGTGTGTGCGTGCGTGCGTGTGTGTGTGTGTGTGCGTGCGTGCGTGTGTGTGTGTGTGCGTGCGTGTGTGTGTGTGTGTGTGTGTGTGTGTGCGTGCGTGTGTGTGTGTGTGTGTGCGTGTGTGTGTGCGTGTGTGTGTGTGTGTGCGTGCGTGCGAGCGTGTGTGTGTGTGTGCGCGAGTGTGTGTGTGTGTGTCGGTGTGTATGTGTGCGTGCGTGCGTGTGTGTGTGTGTGTGTGTGTGCGTGCGTGCGTGCGTGCGTGTGTGTGTGTGTGCGTGCGTGTGTGTGTGTGTGTGTGTGACGAATGCACGGCCGCAATTTCGACGGATTTGCACCAAAATTTACATGCACATGCTCCAACTTAGTGGGAAGGCCAAGGCCGACTTTGCATTTCCCAACTCCCATCGATAGTGGAAATAATCGATTTTTTTCATGCTTCTACGGCAGTTTTCACGTAGTTTGCGGCCATTTTCTACTGCCACGAATATTCAGGAAGATTCTATTAGCCAGCATGAGAGCCAACAGCTGACTGACACGAATGTTAACTAGCATGCTAGCATGCCAAAAAAATCGATAGCTGCATTCGTCACAAGTGGGGAAAATTTAAATCTGCATGACACTTTACTCCAATTGGCTCATTCGCTTGCTTAAACTCAATGTTGATTCTGATTCTACAGAACTGGGTTGGGTGTGAAAAAGTATTTGTTGTTAACATTCTTTTTTCATTTGGTTTTTCCAGTTACGAGGCCTTTTTTAAAGCTGATCGTTTTGTGTTCATTTTGTTTAGTTCTTTTTTCGTAACAGATTTAATGTTTAGTATAGAGCTTAGAAAAAATTCGCATTGTGAGATAGGCAAGAAGTAAGGCATGTAGCAACATCATCACGGAAAAAGGCACTCCTTTAAAGGCAAGGAAGGGCAAAACTATTTAAGTCAAGTGATAGCGATTGCTGTATGTGTCGTACGAATTTTGAATCAAGCACGGGCAACGCCGGGCCATGCTGCTAGTGCTTGATAAAGACGTTGGTTAGATCCAGTGACTTGACCCAAAGACTTGTGAGTTCAATACCACAACAATGGTGAACCAAGAAAACTTGGGGAGATGAGTTAAAAGGGAAATAACTGAGACATCCGGAAGCGGAAACGTTTTGAATATTGTCCTATTATTGATGCTGCCATAATGTAGAACTGAAACATACCAGAAATGTAGGCTTCGTAGTCAACACTGAGAATATGACCCACTTTATCAGTAGATTTGTTATGCCCTAGATCATTACCTTACTGAAGGAAAATCATAGGTACGTTCCGACTTACACAAAAAATGACGTTACTATGCATCGTAGGAACAGGACTCTGTCGTAAGCCATGTTATCTCGGAATGTTAAAGAATTTCTTCCATTTTGGATGCAAAACTTATTGCATGTTCGACTTTGTTCAGTTATTACAACTGAAAAGAATTTATCGAAACCCGAACATACAATTTGTCACATGAAATAAGATGAATAAATCAGACTTAAACGCTTTGATGGTTGAAAACAGGCCCCAGTGAAGACTAGATTCAATTGTTCGTCGAAAACATTCACATCAAAACCTGCCAAATTCTGCTCAATAGGTGTCGAAGAGCTGCCTAATAATTCATTGCAAATAACGGTGAAGATATAATTGGGGCGCCATGATAAGGTATGCTTTTCTGAACATTGGTTTTAGCTGACGAAAGTATGGATAGCAAGTAACAGAAATTTGGTACGAGCCTTGCAGAAGAATTGAAGAAGTTGGAAAGCCGAAAATATTCTGGGACTATAATTTTCTGACAAAGTGATAGACATCACCGTCTGGATATGATTGTGTTTGATAAAGGCAGCAAAAATTGTCCTATTATTGATGCTGCTATACCGAAGAACTGAAAAATACCAAAAAAGGTGATTGAGAACCATTACAAACTTCTCTGATTTGGAAAGTAGAGATACCATGTTTGGTTGGAATGCAGCAAGGGGATGCCAAGCTGATTCAGGTGGTGAATTAAACATTGGGATTAATCCAATCAAAACTGAATTCTTTGACTTGTATGATTCCCATAAAAACTTCAATCGGCTCTTGTTGGCACTGCGCATATTTTCAGGAAAGTGGCAGATGTATTTGCCCGTAAGTCAATGTAAGGAACACGACCGGAATTCGAACTCAGCA